TTTAGACTCCAAAGTGAAACATTGCTCACATTTATACATATTGCGCAAATGTTTAAATTTTAAATATTTTTAAAATCTTCCTCATGCTTTAAAATATAATTCCCTAAACTTAATGTGGTGCATCGAGAAGCGTGTCAACTCCTCTAAAAGCTTGCAACAATCTTGGAAAGCTAGCGACAACATTAAGAAGAGTGCCACCGACTTAAGAAGCTAGTCACTATCTTGAGAATCATGCAACAATCCAACGATGTGCACTACATTAAAAAGAATGCAAGCACGCTATTCAAATGCATAAAAAATGTGTGCATGTGCATCACATGACACATAAAAAAGTGTGAACGTTAATTAAAAAAAAATTAATTTTCCTGTATGTGCTCCGACAAACATACAAAATATGTAAACACAAGTATCTGATAATTTTGTGTAGGGTTAAAAGCTCATTCATATAAAATTTTATTTTTAAACTAATCACCTGCGTGTGCTTCTTCTGTTGCTTTGAACTCCTATATTCGAGGTTCGAGAATGCTGCGAGAGTTAAATATTCAAATCCAATATTTAATTTTAAAGTTCACATTTGATGCATACATGTTTTTGTCTATTTTGTTTTAATGTAATTTGAACAATATATAGTTGTGTTTTTAGTTTTTTCTAAGCTATCCTATGATGGTTGGGCTTCCAATGATCATGGTAGGATGTGCTAAGAATACCATTAGTCACATACACTAATTTTCCAGAAGAACCCAAGCACCAAGTTTATGGAATTTCCCATTTGCTTTTCACGGAAAAAACAGCCCAGCTTAAGAAACCGAAGGAGCAACCACAGGAATTAAGGAGGCCGCATTGAACCAAGGCGCCAAAGCCACGGGAGTTCCCCAGGCTCGGAAAACCAGCAGCCGATGAAGGAACCAAGGAGACAATGCTCGGAAATAGCAACCCCACATGAATTCAAGGCACAGAATTCAGCCATTATTTAAAACAAGCCACGGGTTCCCAAGAGACAAGAAGAAAGGGGAAGGAGAAGGGACAAGTCCACCCCAAAATTGAATCCTTCATAATGAGCCACCTTTTGAACATTAATGAGCTACTAAACTTCAGCTCAAACAACTAAGGGAATGAGCTCAACCCCAACTTTCTCCATTTATCACCAAAGGCTCCAAACAACTAACCTGTGAACCAACAGCAGCCAAAGGACCAATCGATCCAGCAAACCAAAGGTCTACCAAGCCCTATGCACAACCTACCATATTCATTGGATGCTTTCCCATCATTAGATAGCTAAAAAAAAGAAAAGAACATAAAATATAATATTGTTCAAATAAAAATAAAATTACAGAAATATTTGATAGTATCAGGTGTTCTCCAATTTGTCTCTTTACTCTAGTTTTGCACGCATCAACATTAGGCCTTTAAAGGATTGTCAAATGAAACGTATCATAAGCTCTTGATTCTTAGCGTTCGTATGATAACTCCCGAGATTAATAATCAAACATGATCCTCTGTTAGCGGACGAACATAGTTGATAAGGTTTAAATAACCAATTATTTAAATACTAGATGATGGTCGTATTGAAAGCTAATATCAACTGGATGTGATTTTATCTTTTAAATGCCTCCTAACATCAATGAAATATATATCTTTTAATGTGACTTTAACGTCACCCCGATGATAACCGTGTTGAAAACTAATATCAACCGGTTAATTTCTAAATTTTATTGAAACTCTAAAGCACCATATCTACCAAAATTTTAATATTTAAAAATTGAAAATAATTATCTGTAACTTAAAGCAAAACTCATACACCCTTCGCAACCATTTGGCGAGGGCAATGAATTTAAGAATAACTTCAGCTCATAAATATCAAATGTACAGTCGAGAATATCATTCAGATTCATTCTCAAATAACTTTTCCTAGCAAGTATGTGACATTTGTCCTCTTATTTGTGGCTTGGTCAAATGACTCTATAAAAGCCCTTAGCTTGGCCAAACGACTCTATGTAGTAAATGGTTATGACTGATATTCTAATAGGTGGCCGTTGCTGCCAACCGCCACCGGCCACCATTGCGGTCGGCCGCCGCCACTAGTCAACAGTATCTGCCACCCACCGCGAGTCGCCACCCTCACAGGCCACCACTATCGCCACCCTTCGCCGGGCGTTGCCTGTCGTCACCTACTGCCGGTCTCCTTTGTCATCGGCCCCACTACCTATCGCTAGTTACCACCCCCGGCCGCCTCCACTTATCATTGGCTGTCGCCACTCGTCGACGGCCACCACCACCGCCATTATTTGGGGACTTTACACTACATTCATGTACTTCATAAAAAAAGCATTCACCTGCATTTACTTTACACTCATCCAACTCTAAAGTATTCTTTTTACACTTTATTCCTTTTACAATGCATTCTTTTTTTAGCCAACCAAACATCCCCTAGATATAGATTACTTCGGGCACAATTAACAATTTTAAAAGGGAATTAAGTGGTTAGGTCAAATCTAGATTCCTTGTTGAATACTTTTCATGCTCCTTTTTTTTCTGCATAACTAGAATATTTTTGGTGTGAATTTTAATCAACTTGTGGTTTGTAATGGTTTTGAGCAATTAGTAATTTATCATTTGGGGTAGATTTCTTTTATTTTTTGGTTTATGTCAGGAGAAGACGGATTCTTTTTCTAGTTAATGGGCTGATTGGTTAGCTGAAGTGTCATGTTGACTCCTCTTGATTATCTATAGACCCATGCATGTATCAACTCCCTCGCTTTTCCCTTTCCTTCATGCTTTTCTTTCTTTCTTCTTTTTTACTTCCTTTTCTTCTCTGATAATAGCATATAGCAGTCTCCAACTGCCTCAACTATACCCTTTAGCTTGCAATAATTCTACGACGTCACAACAACTTCAGGTTTTTGTTTAAGGAATTTGGCGAGATTTGAATGATATATACAGTGGTGGAGCGAGAAATGTTTTCTTGTGGGGTCACAAATTAGATTTTTTTAAATATTCCCTCTTTTTTTTTTTTCATTCATGCTTGAGACCGACATTAACAACTTTAAAAATTATTTTATTTATACTTGTTATTTTAAAAAGATAAAATATAAGATAAAAAAAAAACTTACAATTTATAACATGTACTCTTCATATTTTGAAAGAGTTGATTGATTACTTTATTATCAATACAATAAAATATTTCTTTCTCAATATAAGTGATTAAAATATCATTCATCCATCAATCTCTAATTTTATTTTATATTCAATTTTTTATAATAGGCATAGTATAAAAGACTCTTTCAACTTGTATTACATTTACTGATCTTGAAATAAATTCTAAAATTTTAATTTATCATAATAAAATTTTGATTATAATATTCAAAAGTAATTTATTTTCATATAAAATCAGAGTTATGGGGATGAATAAAAGAATAAAGGTATAACTATAATTCTATTTTAATTAAAAATTATTAATAAAAATAGGAATACTTATATTTTTTTCTTGGGAAGGGGGCTTGGTCCCCCTCAAACCCCCCTTAGCTTCACCCATATATATATATATATATAAGTTTTCCAAGTCCATTGTCCAAGTAACCACCTACACCCCACTGTCTTAGCCACTTGAAAATTCTAGAAATTGCCAGGAAAATCGGGTGCTACAGCACTACTGCAGTACAATAAATGCTACTAAATTATTATTAATAGAAAAGCTTAGGGATTTTGATTAAATACTTAGTAGTTTCATAATATAATATAAATATGATTTTTGTACATGCATCTATAAATAAAGATGATTGAAATGGAACATAGAATTTAGTAAAAAATGAGTTTGTTGAATTTTGGGATGTGTGAAAAATAGGATATAATTTTTGGGAGAAAATCTTATTGTAACTTTCGAAATTTTCAATGTTATAGTTTTTTACTACTTGAAGATATTCCAGTAGAGGTGTGGAAATGCTTAGGTTATACCTTGTTGTATGCTTTGTGCTGATGATATTCTTTTTGTTGATAAGACTAGTGAGGGAGTTGAAGGTAAACTTGAATTATGGAGGTCAACCTTAGAGTCTAAAGGTTTTTGTTTGAAGATCTAAAACTGAATATATGTAGTGTAATTTAGTAGTGATGGATGTAGTTGGGGGATTGTGATTTTGGGGGTTCAAGTGATTAATAAGAGTACAAGTTTTAGATATCTTGGGTCTATTATTCATAGTGATAGCGAATAGATGTGGATATTATTAGTAGAATTCAAGTTGGATGGTTGAATTGGAGGAATGCATCGGGCTTGTTGTGTGATAGAAAAGTCCTCAAGCTTAAGGAAAAATTTTATATGGTGGTGAGACTTGCAATGCTTTATGGTGCAGAATGTTGGCCATTAAAAGAGAAGCATAATATTAAGTTAAGCATTGTAGAGATGAGGATGCTCAGGTGGATGAGTGGCTTTACTCTTAGAGATAGGAAACGAAATGAGCATATATGTGAAAAGGTTTGAGTAGCTCCAGTGGAAGATAAGATTAGAGAGAGTCGCCTTAGATGGTTTGGTCACATTAAACGGAGGCCTTCCGATGATCCGGTTAGGAAAGTTGAGGTATTAGATTTGACTTATGTTTAAAAATGTAGAGGTAGACCTAAAAAGACTTGGTTAGAAAATATTAGAAATGATCTTTCTTTATTTGATTTAGATGAGAATTTGATTTTTAACATGACACAATGGCGAAAAAGGATTCATAATTTTGATATGTGGGTGACACATGAACCTCTTCTATGAATTAAAAGGCATGTGAAAACGCATGCGCAGCTTGCTCAATTGTGAGAGCAGCTGTTATTACCAAACAGCACATTGTATCCAATCAAAACCTATGTTGATATATAGATTAATGAATTTAGTAGCTTTCATTGACATATAAAATGGGCAGTTTTTTCCATTTTTGTTAGAATACATACGGAATGTTTATTTTGTTTCAAATCTTGATCTGATATTCTTTCACGATTCAAATTGGGCTCTCTTATTTCTTTCATAGATATGTTGCACTCAACATGCTGATGAAATCTGTTGTGGTTGATTCTCAAGCAATGCAAAGACACAGAACAACAATTTTAGAGTGTGTTAAGGTATAAGATTATTTAGCTCTTGATTGTTTTTCTTTCTCTAGCTCTTGTTCTTTTGAAAAATATTCACTTTTAAGTGGGAATAAAATTTGCATCCAACATGCTGCTAGTTTTGCCGATATATTCTCGATTCCTGTGGTTGGTTAATTTTTTTAACACTAAATATCTATTTAATGTCGTACAATTCTATTTGACCTGGCTTAGTTAGTGAGTAGTTCTCTTAATATTAATGCTCCGCCTTTTAAAACTGATGTTTCTTCTGATATTCTTTGGCTCTGTGTGGATGCTAACAATTTGATTGAATGGAAATGAAAATGGAGTTGAAAAAAAATCTCAAGTTTATTTTTTCATATTTAATCAACCCATACATTGCTTGTTTTTCATTTCATTTCCATAACTTTCCATCAATACCAACAGAGCCTTAAACTTATTCAAATGAGTTGCAGAAAGTTTCCTGCTTTTGAGCATGGTCTTCTATAAGGGATATTAGTAATACTAAATAAATGCGTTATACTCAGAATATATTGGATAAGTAATTAGAAAACTTAGGCTTGTGTAAGGAGTATGTAGAAATGCATTAATATTTGTGTAGTTCTTTGCATTCGTGTAATTATGCTGTTATAACGCTTGATAATTTGGCTTTAATATCCTTCTATTGCATGGATGAGTTATTTTTAAAAGCTTGCATATATGCTGATGCAAAGGTTCTGCTATTTCAAACTGAGGTTAAAGTTTCTATGTACAACTTCTCTAGGATTCTGATGCTTCAATTAGGAAAAGAGCTCTTGAGCTTGTATGTCTTCTAGTCAATGATACCAATGTGAAGCCTTTGACTAAAGAGCTAATTGACTACTTAGAAGTTAGCGATGAAGAATTCAAAGGGGATCTCACTGAAAAAATTTGCTCTATTGTTGAAAGGTAAGCAGAAGTTCTCTTTGTTGAAAGTAAAAACTTGAACTTAGATCCTGATGCTGCTAGATTTGAGTTTTTTTGTTATTTATTGTTATCGTACATCATTGCTGGAAAGCTATTTATGCATCCGAGTTTTAATTGCTGCACTAACTGTTTGCCATTTTTTTTTCTTGATGTCCTTAAAACTTTAACATGTTATGTAGAATTTGAGGACTATCTTTTAGTAGATTTAAATGTTGTTCATTAACATTAAAGTATGACAAAGAATGCGAATGAGTTTAATTATTGTACTGTAAACAGTAAGAAAATAAAATCTCATGCTAAAGGTATGCAAAGGCGTGAAAATGAAAGATGATAGAAGTAGTCAATAATTTTCTAGGTCAACAATACAATAATGTAAAATGTCCTATGCAAAAGTTTAATCAATTTTGAAATGTCTTTTTTGTTTATCTATTATGGTTTGTACAGTTTATTGCTAAAAACAATGGATGCCATACAAGCCATATATTATTCATGCTTCAGCCCACATCCTATTCACAATCGCACGAGCCATCTCCCTCTCCTTTGCACGCAATCGTTAGAATCTCTAGCAGTGCCCCAATCTTTTTCTAATATTATGTCTCCCAACACCTCCACTTTCTCTCATGATGCTGCTCCAGTTTTTTGTTTGCTCCAATCCCTCGCCCATAACTAGGGGTGTCAAAATTGGGTCATGGGTCGGGTTGAACCTGAAACTGACACAGGACTATTCGGGTTAATCCGAACCCGACCCGTTTTTGCAAACGAGTTAGTTTTTCAGACCCGAACTTGACCTGACCCGTAAGACTACTGCTGCTCTTCCGTTCGCGTGCTTATTCTCTTGTGGCGCGGTAGTGGCCAGGTAGCAGCAGCATCCCGGGCACGCATCAACAGGCATCACGCGGCAGACGACTCGAGCAGGCAACTCAGGTAGACTAGGCAGGCGACACGGGCAAGAAACTCGATGCGATACTAGCAGGTGACTCTGGTAGGCGACGCGGGCACGCGGAAACGCGAGCAAGTGATGCGGGCAATAGGGCAAGTGACGCGGGTAATGCTTGCCACACAACCTATTTCGGGTCATTCTCGGGTTTCCGAGTCAACCCGAACCCTACCCGATTTTTAAAACTGGTCGGTTTGTTGAACCTGAACCCGACCCGTTTCAAAAATGGATTGACCATAATCCGAAATTTTCGAGGTGGATTTTCGGTTCGTGTCAAATATTGACACTCCTACCCATAATGCATATAGATTCCTATGATCAATTTTCGTCTCTTGCATTTCTTTTTTGTAGTACCCCGCAACACCATTTGCCCTCGGTCCTATTCATCTTTCTTAGCTAGGCTTTAGCACCAATATGACTCGAGCTATTTGTTGGCTCAACAAACTCTAGTAGTTGTGCTAGCATACGAATCTCAAGCTAAACAAGCCTAAAAGGCCGAATTTGTATATGAAATTCTTGTTCAGTAAGCCTAAGGCCTAACCATCTCCCTGTTGGCTATGTATGACTAAGAGCTGAACTGATACTTCATTTCACAAGCCCAAGGGACAAGCTCCCTACTCAATTCAAGGTGTAATAGTCAAGTTGGCATAAATATGTGTTGGTTTAACAAACCTGGGTGATAAATGAAGCCACACACATATTGGACTTGAGGTTATATTATCTGAGGTAAAGCTAAGTACATTTGACATTTAGATTCTAGTTTAAAGTTAATATTGTGCTAGAAGGGGTGCAATAAATGTGCCATGCCATATTCGCACACCATATTGATTTGGGGACGATTAATTAAAAAAAAAAAGTGGATGCAATGCAAGCCACATCGCTATTTATGCTTTAGTTAGATGTCCTATCCACGATCATATAAGCCATTTCCCTCTTTTTTGCATGAGCCCATAACATTCCTAGTCATGCCTTGATCTTTTTTTTTTCCCTCTCATCTCCCAATAGTTTTGCTCTCTATGATGCTCCACCTCTCGTTTGATTGAATCCCTAGCCCATAATGCATACACAAAGCCAATGACCAATCTCAATTTCTCCTTCACTCATGTTATAGCACCATCTCCCCCAAGGTTTTCTTGTGCTCTCTGCTTTGCTCTAACACCACATGACTTATACATCCCCAATGTCCTTAACACTTTCTCTATATACTCGATCTCCTATAGCTAATTGTGTTTCGCCCTCGCCTCTCAACTTGACGTCATCGTCGTTGCCTTGCACGTGTAAAGGTATAACCCTTGAAACTAAAAAAAAAAACTCTAAAATTCTGTTAGTAACACTCCATGCTACAAGTGGACCCCCTACGTGCTTTTCATAGTTTGATGGGGGAAAGCTTGTACGCTTTGCCTGCGACACGACTGGTAAACTCTCTGCACGCTTTTTGTAGTGTAACGGGGGAAATTTTAAGTACATGTATCATGTATGCATTTTTCGTAGCATGACAGAAACATTTGTGAGCTTTCAAACAAGCACACAAAGGCCCATATGTGCTTTTTATGGTGCGGTGAGATTGAAGATATCGATTGCGGTGTCACCTGATACTCATCATACATATTTTTCTTAGCATGGAGGGTAGGTCTTTCACTCCCTATAATGCGCCCTAAACAAGGAGGATGCAGGGAGGTTGTCGAATTTGACACTAAAATAGTGAACTTGAAATAAAATTAAAAAATGCTAAAAAATTCAATGATTGCAACTAGGTACTTGAAGACCCATACACACCATGGTTTAAAATTGCGCAATATAAGGCTCGCCTTGAGGCCCGCCTTTGCGCAATTCCAGTAAAAATTGCCTCGATGCTTACGCCTCAAATTTTTTTTATGAGGCTTGTGCCTCAACTTGGTTGAGGCCCGCCTTAATGCTCGCCTTGCCTCACTGGCATGAGGCTTACGCCTCACACTATATATATTAAAACTTACATAAAACTTGAAGTAAATGCCCGACATTGGACTCTATAGGAGAGGAGGAAGGGCAGAGAGCAGGTCATCATAATGATGATTCAAATGAAGAACCCCTTAGTGATGACAATGTTGATGACTTATGAGTTATTATGTGATATGTCATTGCTATTTATTTTTGAAAATTTGAATTATATTTTAATGAAAATAATACTGGGATTTGGGAAAGATAGAATTTTGAGTTGAACTATATTTCATGTTGTCTTATTATTGGGATATTTTGATTTCACTTCATATCTTATGCTTTTTTATGATTTATATTATTCACTCATTTGTATATAAAAAATTTATCATTTTATGTTTACGCAATCTTTTGATTTTGAGGCTTACGCCTCGCCTGACTAATGAAAAACGTCTCAATACTCGAATACGCAATTTTAAACATTGATACACACTTTTTTTAGTGTGATTGGATTGAAGACATTGACTGCAATGCCCCCTGACACCAATCTTGCACGCTTGTTTTAGCATGGTGGGCAAGTTTAACATCTCCCGATATGTGGGAAAGATATAAGGATGTTGTCAAATTTTTTCAGTAAACAAGGGACTCAATACATTTAAAAAATGATAAAAAGTAAATATCAATAAATTTAAATTATTTCAAGCAGGTACCTGAACGCTCGTTACATATTTTTTATAGTGCAATGGGATTGAAGACGCCTGGCACGGTGTCACATGCCATACATATTTTTCTTAACACGATTGCTAAAATTCAGACTAAATACACTCATAGAGAATCAGACCAAAATTTCTAAAATAAAAATCTTACTAAATAAAAGTTTGTGAAAATTTAAAAGACTTACAAAGGACTTGTGATTGAACACATCAACTTGTCTATGGGCAGGGAACCATAACACTTTTAGCGAACATGATACCTGCCTATGAGAAATAATAGAACTTTCTAACACTAACTAAACTCACAAGTTCCATAATGTATAAAAAAATAAGAATATTGTAAAGTGAATGATATATAAAGGACACTACTCGCCTTCAACAAATGCCACCGGATTTGCAACACACTTATAAGTTACAACCGGATAGAAGTACTCTAGGCTTTAAAATATAGTTTTGCGCACTTTCCAATAGAAAATACTCAAGTAAAAATAATCAAAATTTGAATCTTTTAAATCCCGCACATGTTAAAAATGTATATTTCCAAACTGAACCACGCCACCTCTAGAAGTACTCAACAACCACTAGAAGCATACAACAGCTCCAAGAAGCGTGTTATAGCCTTGAAAAGCATACTACCATCATGAGAAGCATGCAATTGTGTCGAAAAATACAAATATTTTAAAATCTAGAAATTTAATACAAATTAAAAGAATGCGAGCATGCAATACAAATACACTGAAATGCATATAAATGATCACATGAGTGCATAAAAAATGTGCCAACATATTGGAAGCATGCATATGTATTGTGCAACTGCATCAAAAAATGTGAAAGTGCATTATGCAAATGCATAAAAAAAGTACCTCAACTTTATTGGAGATAACACAGATTGTAGAGGATCGAAGGTAGATGTAGAGAAGCGGTAAGAGCGGGGTTTCGGGGGGCTTTTACAAAAGTACTTCAACTTCATGGGTGCTAAGGACCCAGATGGTATCATTTCAGCGGGAGGCACCAAAGGAGAAGAGTGGGGGAGTTCGCCCTGGGGCCAATTTCAGGCACCACACTAAGGTAGAGGTGCAGGACAATAAAGTGAAAGATTTATGTTTTTGTTGTGATGAGAAGTATGCATCGGGCCATTGGTGCAAGTATCACACACTCCAGGTACTTCTGGTTTGTGAGGAGGAAGAGACTGACAGTGAGGACCAGGTAGAGGAAGCATAAGAAGGAAGAGAGCATCTACACCTTGATGTGGCAGAAGTGTCCCTAAATTCTGTGGTGAGATTTACTCCAAATCACATCATGAAGGTGAGGGGACAGATCAGGGAGCAAACAATGGTGGTCTTGTTGGATAGTGCCACTCATAACTTCATCTTCAACCAAATCGTGGATCAGTTAGGATTAAAGTTGATGGATATAGGGAGCTTTGGAGTCATGATGAGAACAGGAAAGGTAAAGAGGAGTAGGGGGATATGCATGAAGTTGGTGCTAAAACTCCAGGGTATATAGATAGTGGAGGATTTTCTTCCCATTGATTTGGGAGCACTGATGTGATCTTAGGGATGAAGTGGTTACGAACAATCAGAAAAACGAATGTGGATTGGAAATATCTGACTATGGAGATTTAGGTAGAGGGGAAAAGGTGGTACTGTCGGGAGATGCCAGTCTGTGCAAAACCATGATTTCACTCAAAATTATGGTCAAGGCGATACACGGAGTAGGGCTGGTCTACTTAGTTGAGCTGTATAGCTTAGAGGAATTACGAGACTCAGAGTCGATAAAGGTCCCTGATTGTGTACAACAGCTTCTGCAACAATTTTTCGAGGTCTATCAGCAGCCCTAACGGGTTATCGCCACCCCAGGAGCACGAGCACGCCATTACCTTGAAGGAGGGAGCGTCGCCTATCAGTGTTAGACCATACCGGTACCCACATATTCAGAAGGATGAGACCGAGAAGCTCATCAGAGAGATGCTTGAGGAAGGAATTACCAGACTTAGTGTGAGTCCTTTTTCCAGCCTCATGCTATTAGTAAGAAAGAACGACGGAAGTTGGAAGTTTTGCGTAGATTAGTGACCTATTGCTTATTTCAGTCAGATGCTTACATCCTTGGTAAGACTCAAGTCTGTGTACGAGAGGGAGCTGATGGCTATTGTCTTGGCTATTCAAAAAATGGAGACCCTATTTGTTGGGGAGACATTTCCTTGTCAGAACAGATCAGAGGAGTCTGAAGTATTTGTTGGAACAATGGATGGTCACAAAGGAGCATCAACGGTGGTTATTCAAGTTCCTTGGATATGACTTTGAGATACAACATCGACCGGGATTAGAAAATAAGACAGCATCCGCCTTATCCCGGAAAGGCGAATAGCCTCAATTAGCATCTTTGTTAGTACCCATGATCCTAGATTGGGAAGCTTTGAAATAAGAGAGTGAATATGATGAAGGACTGAGGAAGATCAGATCTGATTTGCTGCAGAACCCGGATTGTCATCCTGGTTACACTTTGAGAGGAGTCCAGCTGCTACATCAAGGGAGATTCGTTTTACCTAGAGGATCGAGTTACATTCCCACGTTGTTACAAGAGTTTCACAACAGTGCAATTGGAGGTCATTTAGGAGCTTAAAAAACCTATAGTCGATTGTCAGCAGAATTATACTGGTTGGGGGTGCGTCATGATGTAGAGGATTGGGTAGCCAGATGTGATGTATGTCAAAGACACAAGTACTTAGCCATGACACCAGCAAGGTAACTACATCCTCTAGCCCTGTCTGAGAGGGTGTGGGAGGAAGTGACAATGGATTTTATTTAGGGGTTGCTGCTTTCAGAGAGATTTTTCTGTGATACTGGTAGAAGTGGATCGTCTGAGCAAGTATGCACACTTCATTCCTCTAAAACACCCTTACATTGCATTCTCTGTAGCTATTTTTTTTATACGAGAGGTGGTACACTTGCATGAATTTCTAGAATCTATTGTGTCAGATAGGGATAAGGTATTCCTTAGCCTCTTTTGGAAGGAGTTGTTTCGTTTGCAGGGGACTGTCCTAAAGAGAAGCACGATATGCCATCCACAGATAGATGGTCAGACAGAAGTGGTCAACATAAGCATAGAGACCTATTTGAGATGCTTTGTATCAGACATGCCGAAGAGTTGGGCAAGGTGGATTGCGTGGGCAGAATATTGGTACAACACCTCGTACCATTCAGCAGCAAAGACCACTTCTTTCAGGATTCTCTATGGGAGAGATCCACCCCATCTGATTCATTATGGGCAGAGCGCTACACCCGTTTTGTGCATCGAGCAATACTTAGAGGAGAGGGACAATGTATTATCTGAGCTAAAGGGACATTTGTTCAGAGCCCAACAAATCATGAAAAATAAGGATGATGAGAACAGAAGGGAAGTAAACTTCTAGCCATGAGATATGGTTTACTTAAAATTGAGGTTCTACAGACAAAAATACTAGCTAGTAGGAATGAGAAATTATCCCTGAGGTACTTTGGGCCTTATGAGGTCATGTAGTGTATTTGAGCAATAGCTTATTGACTGAGGCTACCACCTTCATCAGCTTTGCTCCTAGGCTTTCATGTCTCACAGCTGAGGAAGGCAATAGGAGAGCATACACCATCATCTCTACCCCCGACTTTGACAGAGGTCATGGAGGTCATTTTGGAACCCCTGGAAGTAGCGGGTGTGCGCAAAGGGGAGATAGGGGCACAAGAGGTGCTAATCAAGTGGAAAGATTTGTCAGAGCATGATGCCACGTGGGAGCCATACGAGGCAATCAGGTGACAGTTCCCTACCTTTCATCTTGAGGACAAGGTGCATTTTGGGGAGGGGAGTATTGACATGGGAGAGGGCAATTCACCCCCCATTGTGGGGCCCATTAAACCTATCATTACATTTATGAGAAGAGGAATTAAGAAAGAGATTAATTATGAGATGTTTTCTAATTAAAAAGGGATGATTTATGGGCTGATTTGAAGGAGATATTTACGAATTAAAAAGGACAAATTTTGGTGTTGATTTGGGGGTTCAATTGGAGGAGTTATTTTCTAATTAGATAGAGAGCTAATTTGGGGGCTAATTTGAGGGGAAATTGGGGGAGGGCTATTTTGGAATTTGTTGTTTTATTGTTTGCTATAAATAGTAGGATTTATGCTAGATTTGTAGGCAGAAATTTGTTTTGACTGCTATAGTTCTCTTGTGTGAGAGATCCTAGCAGCGTCTAGGGTTTGGGAGAGAAAGTCCTCTTGAAAAATGTCCATTGTATCTTGCTTTGTTTGTATTTGATTTTCTATCAATAAAAATCTGTTTTTGTGTTGAATCTCTTGGAATTTGTTGATGTTTTTTATACCAAGGTTCATTAGTAGCTCACAACAGTAAAAAGCCAAAGCTGCAACTTAGGTAAATTTGATTTAGAAGAAAATTATGAGGCATATGTAAAGTCAAGTTTTTAACAGTTTTTCAATGAAAATTACTTTTCTTTTTATTGTACATGGTCATTCTTAGCCATTTAATAGATATTCTCTGAGCAGCAAGAGGCTCATATTTAAATTACAGGCATTCTGTCCTATAAAAATGATGTGAGGATAAAAAAAGTACTTGAAATCATGGTTAAAACTTGGTGGGCGTTGATTTTTCAGACTTCCACACCAACCCACCATCAATGAACCTATTGACGTAGATGTATGATTCTGCTCCTATAAGTTGCTCATGGCAGCTTCAATTTGTTATCTATAAAAGATATTTGCATTTTTATTAGGCAACCTCTATTAAGTTATAAAATAGTTACCTTGTTGATGGAGACCTAACTTAAGATTGCATTAATAGTATCTGAGTTATACATATTTAATTACATGTATGACCAAAATTTAATTTATTTCTGCACTTGACAGATTTTCATCTGAAAAGTTATGGTATATTGATCAGATGCTGAAGATCTTATCCGAGGTACTGATTGCTACAGTTGCATGAAGGTTTCTTTTCTCTTATTGATGTAAAGAAAGCTATAATTCTTAATCCATTTTCTTTACAGCTAGATTTCTTGTAATCAGTTTTTGGTGTTATTATTTGCATGTTTTTGGTCAAAAGTGCATACATTTTGTCACTCAGTATTGTTTTTTTTTTTGGCGACAAGGAGTTGGACGTGGAACTTTTACTATGGACCGTTGAATTATAATCATCTTAATACTTCTCTTCTATGGCTGGGTGTGTGTTTCATCATATTGTTTATTATTTTTTGTATTAACCTATATTTCAGTTGTGCATATGTGGATACCTGCATGAACATAGTTTACTTCAATTTGTGTTTGGACAGATTGTCTTCTGTTATAAGGCTCTTCATCTCTGTAAACAACTCAAGGTGAATTCAGAGATTAGAACAACTGAGGGATATATTTTTTATTAATCAAATTATTTATTAGGCTTCTTCAAGTACAATCTTAAAAATTGCATGTGCACCAAGGATTCAAATTCAATATATTGTTGTCTGTTGTGTCTGGCACGCAGCAAATTTAAATGTTCCACTGGGTTTGAAATTAAAATTGCAAATTAGCTATGCATGTGAAGGGGTAAACTCTTTTTTGCGGACCTTCTTTTTTTGACGTACTTGCAGCTTCCATCTAATTTATGTTGCAAGTAAATTCCTTTCTTACTAGTTTTAAGCACTGGCGTTGGATACTTTGTTGGCTTCCCGTTTGCTCTTTGTTAACATGTGGCATAGTAAAGTGGTAGAGCACTTCATAAGATATAAGATTGGCCTTTCAGGCCTTTTGTGATTCTGCGGTCATCCATGCTGTTTAGTAACTTTTTTTTTTTTAGCTTTAGATGTTTTATATTTCATGTTTAAATGCCCTTCAAAATGCAAAATGTTTTAAACCAAACCCAAGAAAATTATATTTTTAATAAATCTTCAATTGATGCACTTGAGGTCTTCGTCACATAAGCTCATGATAGAATGGTTCCTTTGAGCTCTTTTTATTTTTGGAGTAGCATTTGATTGAACTTTATAGTTAATCATAATTTGTGTGATGCAAGGCTGGGAATCATGTAAAAGATGAAGTTTGGCATTCGCTTATAGTTGTTATAAGCAATGCTGCTGATCTTCAAGGATATACTGTGAGGTCGCTATATAAGGCTTTTCAAACTTCTTCTTTACAGGTGGGATATTTTAATGATCATGCTCAATGTCGAACTTGGTTTCCATTGTTTTATCCTGCTTCTTTAATTCTTTTGTAGGTTGGTTTAGTACGGGTCGCACTATGGTGCATTGGGGAATATGGTGAAATGCTAGTAAATGGAGCTGGCATGCTTGCAGCGGAGGAACCTGTAACTGTGAGTTACATTATACTTGGCTTTCAATTTATGTTTTTCCCCGGTTTAGTTTTTGCTATTAATACTCATTTTTCCTTTCAAACATTCTGGGTCAGGCTGCCTCCGATAAAAGGCTTGTTTAGTTATTTTCCTAACGTACAATTACTCTAGCTCAGCTCATGGAAGAATTGAATGGTGAATAACTTTTTAAGAATTTGAAGTTTAAATAAATTTCATTTTTCTATCATAATAAAGACTTGTTGTTGTTGTAGTATCTTATGCAACTTCAAATCATCACCCTTTTGGAAGGAAACTTCATGGATTCCATTGTGAATTTCCCTCTAACCATTCAAGTTCTCTTTTGAAGTTGACTTACAGGTGTCACATTTTCCTGTTTCTATTGTCTGTCTCACCCTTGTTAGCTCATTTGTCATGTATCTTAGTTATTCAGCTTTCACTTTTAAATGGAAAAACCCTTGACTACGAGTTTCATTCCTACATTTTGGGTGTTTTTGTCGAAATGCTTGCAGTGAAGGCTACAACAGCAGTTATACCAATCTTTATTAAGTCGATCAAGAAAGTCTCAGTTTGTTTCTTTTAATTTTATCGTGAAAAAGAAAGGGGAAACTGTATGATTGTAAATGTTTAGCTATGGTGAATTGCAATTTGGTGGGGAAAGCAAAGTAAACAAATTGACTAGCGATAATGTTTAGCAATATTATTTTTGGTTTTATCAAGTCAAGTTGCCCACAACCTCATATGCTCATGGCTCCCGATTCTTGTGTGGTGAAGGCACGTCTCACAAGAGGCAGTGAGGCAAACCATTTTCTCTGCTCACTATATCGTTCACTTCCTTTCGGTCAAAACAGTAGATAGAACCCTAATATATATGCATATATATGGCCATTTCTCCTCTTTGGAGGAGAATTGCATTCTCTTAATTTTGTGTTGAAATAAAAAATAAAAAAATAAAAATAGAAAGATGGGCATTGCATCTTTTTACAAACAGGTACCACCCTTTGGCGTTAAGAAATGAACAACAAAAACAACAACATCAAACCTTTGTCCCACTATGTGGGGTCGGCTACATGAATTCTATTTCGCCATTGTGCCATGTTAAACGTCAAATTCTCATTTAAATCTAATAAAGAAAGATCATTTCTAATATTTTCTAACGAAGTCTTTTTAGGTCTACCTCTACCTTTCTTAACATAAGTCAAATCTAATACCTCAACTTTCCTAACCGGGTCATCAGAAAGCCTCCATTTAATGTGACCAAACCATCTAGGCGACTGTGGGCTTCGAAAATTCGGCCCCGGCCTCCACTCGCTTTTCTTATTCGGCGAGGGAGTTTTAACGAACTAAGTTCCGGGGTAAATTTTGGAAGGCAGATGGGTTTGTAGATAAGACCCGAAGGGGAGAAGGTTTCCTCGACAGCAAGCGAGCTCTCTTCTGTTGTTTCAGATCAAACTGTCGTAACTTCCAAACCAAAGGGAAGGGAATGTCGTCGAGCGTAGCCGGACAGCAGGGAGGAGTCGGAGAATGTAGCGCCCAAGGGAGAAAGGTAACTTCACAGCCTGCGAGCTCCTGCTCGATGCTTCCGATCAAACTGTCGCAGCTTCCGATCCGTCCAGGAAGAAGAGAGAGCGGGAGATGTCGGGGTGAGAGAAAGAGCAGGCGTGAGAGTAAGAGGCCTTCAGCCTCTTTTCCTTGACTCTTTAACGACAAGAGGTCGTGGGCGATCGTGAGGGGAGAAGATCGTGCACGAAGTGACTCAGGCATGGCTTCGACGTGCACACGACGTGGGAGCGGCAGAGAGCAGGTGAGATTTGATGATTTTTTTTTCTCTTTTTTTGTTACGGCGTACGGGTCAACAGCGACTCTCTCTAATCTTATCTTCCACTGGAGCTTCACCAACCTTTTTATGTATATGCTCCATGTATGTTAACGGCGAATGGCGCACTATGGCGCAAAGGTCCATTTGGAGCCATGGCTCATAGCGCACAACGCGGCGCGCGTTATTTTGAACATGGCGCAAGCTATATAAAAATTATAAAATAATAAGCATGAATATGAAATATTATTAAAAATAAAAGACAAGCTATCATAATAATAAAAGACAACCATAACATATATAAGTTCGACTAAGTAACATTCAAATATCTCATAATTCAAATGCTACAATCTTTTTTTTTAAAAGATCAAATAAGAATTTAATCTACTCTTCTTGGGAATCATCATCATCAGCAAATGTTAAAAAAGCTTCATTATCTTCTTCAACATTGTCTCCTACTTCATAATTTTCTTCTTCACCCTCGGTACCACTACTTCATAATCCTATAAGAATTGAATCTGACATTTTATGATCACCTAAAAGCAAACAAATTTAGATAAAAGAAACATAATATTGTCCAAGAAACATAATATAGGGGCTGCCGGGGTCCAAGGGGGCGCAGCGCCCCCGGAACAAAATTTATTTGTAAGAGAAATTTTGAAGTTCATTTGTATGGAAATTAGGGAGCAGTACCGAGCATGTACCGAACTGTACCGAGTGGTACAAAGCATGTAACTAGCGGTACCGAGCATGTACCGAGCGGTATCTTTCATGTACTTAGCAATACCTAGTTGTACCGAGCTGTACCGAGTGGTACAAAGCATGTACCGAGCGGTACCGAGCATGTAACGAGCGGTACCGAGCGGTATCATGCATGTACTTAGCGATACCGAGCGTGTACCTAGCAGTACCGAGCGTGTACCTAGTTGTACCGAGCTGTACCGAGCAGTACATAGCATGTAACTAGCGGTAAAAAATATTCATAAGTATACCAAAATTTAAAAACAATTTGGCGTGCTATTTTGCTCCGTGCGCAATGCGCCATGGCTCACATGTGGCGCAAATAGTGCGCGCTATTTTAAACACATGCGCCTCGCCATGAACATGGCGTCGTAGGTGCACCGCGCCGCGTCGTGCGCCATGGCGCGCGCTATTTTGCGCCATTGACAGCTATGATATGCTCATTTCGTATCCTATTTCTAAGAGTAAAGCCACTCATCCACCTAAGCATCCTCATCTCTGCAACACTGAACATAGTATTATGCTTCTCTTTTAATGGCTAACATTTGGCACAATAAAGCATTACAGGTCTTACCACCATCTTATAGAATTTTTCCTTAAGTTTGAAGGGTACTTTTATATCGCACAACAAGTTCGATGCATTCCTCCACTTTTCTATCGCACAATAAGTCCCGATCCAACAGCTTTTTCACGCTTCATTTTCTTTAAAGCCTCTTTAACTTCGATTTTACTAATACGTCGATAAAAATAAAAATATTTATTTTCATTTAGAGTGCTAAAGTCATTAAAGTCAATCGTATTTTCACATTATTCATTAAAAAGTTTAGCAAAATATCTCATCCACCTTTGTTGAATATCATCTTCTAAGAAAAGTACTTTTTAATCGTCTAAGAGTAAAGCCACTCATCCACCTAAGCATCCTCATCTCTGCAACACTGAACATAGTATTATGCTTCTCTTTTAATGGCTAACATTTGGCACCATAAAGCATTACAGGTCTTACCACCATCTTATAGAATTTTTCCTTAAGTTTGAAGGGTACTTTTCTATCGCACAACAAGTTCGATGCATTCCTCCACTTTTCTATCGCACAACAAGTCCCGATCCAACAGCTTTTCCACGCTTCATTTTCTTTAAAGTCTCTTTAACTTTGATTTTACTAATACGTCGATAAAAATAAAAATATTTATTTTCATTTAGAGTGCTAAAGTCATTAAAGTCAATTGTATTTTCACATTATTAGTTAAAAAGTTTAGCAAAATATCTCATCCACCTTTGTTGAATATCATATTCTAAGAAAAGTACATTTTAATCGTCATCCTTAATACACTTCATTTGAACTAAATCTTTACTACTCTTATCTCTTTGTTTGATTAACTTATACATATATATTTCTCACTCCTTAGTATCTAATCTATTTTATAAATAATTAAAAATTAAGTTCTTTGCATCGCAAAAAGCTTTCTTAGATTCCTTACGAGCATCTTTTTAGCTTTTCCAATCATCAGAATTTTTACATTTAAACTAATTTTTATAACAAATCTTCTCATTTTTTATATTTTCTTGCACATTTGGATTCCACCATAAACTATTTTTATTATGATGAGCTTTTCCCTTTGAAACTCTAAGCATATCTTTTGCAATTTTTTTAATATCACTAGCAACTTTTTCGCACATAATATTAACATCTTTATGCACAGATAAAATCTTAAGATATAAAATTTTACTCTCAGAAATACTTTTGTTAATAATATTTAAATGCTCCCATCTAATTATAGAAAATCGTTTTACTTTATTTTTTTATTTTCTGCCACTTTAACTTAAAGTCCAAAACTAATAATCGATGTTGGGTACATAAATTTTCACTCAAAATAACTTTACAATCTTTGCAATCTAAACGATCTAAATTTTTATAAGAAAATAATCAATCTGCTTTTTACTATATCCATTTTTATAAGTGATAAGATGTTTACCTCTTTTCTTAAATAAGGTATTAGCTATTAAGAAATCGTAAGTTAAAAAAAAATCTAATATGGTCTTACCACATTCATTTGTTGTTCCAAACTCATGGCCATCATAAATGCTTTTAAAATCATCTACCTCTCTACCAATATGTTCATTTAAATCTACTCCAATAAAAACGCTTTCTTCAAGAGGTATCTTTTGTATTAATTTTTCCAAGTTATTCTAAAATCACTCCAAAGCACTACCAAATTGGAGAGCGATTGAATTTAAAATTTAATTCATTAATTTGATTAATTAATCGATTAAATTAAATTAAATTAATTAAGTAAAATGAGATTGATTAATTAAAAAAGAATGAAATTAATTAATGAAAAATTAATCAATTCAAATTTAATTTCAATTAATTAATTTATTGGAGTTAATTGATTGAAATTAATTAACTAATTTTAATTATTAATTAAATATAATATAATTAATTAAAAATAGTTGAAGTCAATTGTTTAATTAGAATTAATTAATGAAAAATAATTAATTAGATTTAATTAATTGACTAATATTAGTGAATTCATTTCAATAAATTGATTAATTAAAATTAATTGATTAAAGAAATTAATTAATTAAATAATTAATAAGTTAATTGAAATTAATTATGAATTTGAAATTAGTTAATTAATTTTGATTGATTAATTGTAATAAATTAATTAAAATTAGTCGGTTAATTGAGAATAATTAATTAAAATTAATTAATTGGTTTATTAATTATTCGAGAGCAATTTAAAATCTGAGAGCAAATATAATTAATTAGCTAATTAATTATTCGAGAGCAAATTTTAAAAAAACCCAGGAGCAACTTAAAATCCAAGAACAATGAAATTTAAATTGATTAATTGGTTGATTAAAATAAAATTTTTTATTAATTAATCAATTAATGTGGAGAGAGCCATTCTGATGAATTTTCTTTTGAATGCAGAAAAAGAAGTTATTTTTTCACTAATCAACCCTTAAGTACAAGCTACATGAAAACCACACTCCTAAATCTACGACTCAAACAAAAGAAAATATTTTCTATACAAACCCTTCAAGCTCTCCAAAACAACTCTCTGTGTAAGCTCTCTAATACTCTTGGGTAAGCTCTTGCATGCACAAAACTCCAGTCACTTGCAAGTAAAAAAATAGAAATTGATTAGCACCAAAATAATTGCTAAAGAAAGTAAAGCGGGCTAGAGCAAGCTACCAGCGCAATAAAGTTGCAAAATGAAAAAAAGAGTATGGTATTGTAGCAGAAGCACTAGTGCCAAACAACAACAATTGCTGGCAAGTAAGTGTCGGCTAGTAAACAATTGAAAGCTAAAAGTTTAATAATGTCAAACTAACAAGTAACCATAAACTAAAGTATTGACGGGTGAAGTCTAATCTATATATATATATATATATATATCTATCTTTCAAGCCCTCAACCAAAATTAATATGAATCTTAGCCTATAGGGTTAGGCTGTAACACCCACCAGTTGACTATTAATAGAAGTTGTAAGATCCGTTTTATGAGCTACTTTCAATAGAAGTCGTAAGTCCCAATCCAAATTCAAACACCTGAGCTACTTCTATAAGAAATCGTAAGACGTGTTTCAATTCAAACTTCTGGGTAACTTCTAAACAAAGTTATAGATCTCAAACCAAGCTAACTTTTAGGTATTCTAATAGATGTAAACCCCAAATCACCTTTTTTAAAACTGCAACCCACATCTAACCACCCAAGTCTACTCGAGATTCCTGAGAGGAGACAATCCATGACTGTTAATCAGATTCCGTGGACATTACAATCAACAATCATTAATGTTCGTAGACTGAAACTTATTGTATACCCAGGATGACGGAATCATGAGATCTTGATCGGGTCTATATCTATTTTCCCCCACAATTGAGACTAAACTAAAAAATTTCATCATTAATCGAGAGTTCTCTCTTACGTGTTAATTATGAGTGTTTGCGCTTATAAAAAGTAAGGACCAAGATCTAACTAAACCCTGACACTACCCTCGGAGGAAATCTTGTTAACTACAGTATGACTTAAGGAGAATGAAATCCTATGTTTGTAAAGCAGGATTCATGCCGACGTGTCGTTTTTCTTGAGCCAATAAAGGGCTTGCGCTCATAGGAAGTAAGGATCCAAAATTAAATAAACCCCGATACAATCCTCGGGGGAAATCTGGTTAACTATAAATCAATACTAAGTCTGAAAAGCGGGATTCATGCCGAAACATCATTTTTCTTAAGCAAACATTTTGTTTTTGCTTTATATAATTATTAAACTTAACATCGCATCATTGAGTATTATCAACATATCAATTTCATGTGAATTAAGTATCACAAATTTTTGTGTTGATTTAATCATACATCAAGTATCTGAAAATATAAGCATGATCTGATCATAGATAGAAGACATTTTAAAAATATAGTTTTACCCATGTATTTCACTAAATAAAACCTTCTAACCATATAATATCATCAACAACACATGCATTTGATTTCAAGCCATTTGAAAGTTTCTACACTTTGAAATCAAAATTATTTTCTTATGTAACCAATGTAGTTCATTACGAAAATTTTGATGCGTCCATTTGATACCAAATGATAGTGAATTTCTTTAAATCATGCATGTCTTTAGTTTTAATTTTGTTAAAGATAATGGACGGCTTTCATCTTACATTTGAAGGTCATAATATCAACAACTACTGTTTGCTTTGCATTCATACTTTCATATGAATATTTGTTCCAGTGAATTTAGCACACTTCCATTTCTTTTACCAGGTAACTGAATCTGATGCAATCGATGTTGTTGAGGTTGCTTTGAAATCTCATTCTTCAGATTTTACAATTCGAGCAATGTCTCTGATTGCTCTACTAAAGCTTTCATCTCGTTTTCCTCCCACCTCCGAGTCAGTACTCACTGTATAGTAAAGTTTTTGCTTGCTTCTTTGTCATGCATTTGGGGCTTCTCTACGAGATGACTTCTCAGCTATTATGTATTTCTTGCAGGAGGATAAGAGAGCTTATTATACAGCACAAAGGTAACTTTGAGCTAGAATTACAACAAAGATCAATTGAATTTAATAATATCATACAGAAGCACAAAAACATCCAGTGAGTTGCTGATTTATTACCCATCTTGAGTTTATTCTTAGGGATCCGAGCTTACATTGATATGTTCACTTTAAAATCATGAATAAATGCGCAGATCTTCTTTGGTTGAAAGGATGCCTGTTTTGGATGAATCAACTTATCTTGGAAGGAAAGATGGCTCTTCAACAGATGTTCCTGCTGTCAAACCCAGCAAGGCAAACCTTTCAGGGACTTCACTAAATCTTCAGAATGGAGTGACGAAGCCACCAGCGGCATCTATGGGGGATTTGCTTGATTTGAGCTCCGATGATGTCCCTGCTACTAAGTCATCAACCAGCGATTTTCTGCAGGACCTATTGGGCATTGATTTGGGGACCCCTGTGCCATCAGGTTTTCTTTCTAATTTTCTTGTTTCCCTTTAATTAAGCCAGTTCTTTTACAGATCAATGATTTTTCCCAGAGTGTCTTTTTCTTGAAACATTATTTTTGCAACATTCTTCCAAATTTTCTCGTACTGAATCTTATGGAGTTTTGCCTTCGTTATTTTTAGGGTATGTGGGTTCATTTTCCATGTCAATCCTCCATGTGGGTTCTTTCCTTCATTTTTATGCATTACTTCTTCATTGAAGATACATCATCCTTTTGCATTCTCTTCGAAGAATAAGAAGATAACTTTTTGAGTGGTATTTGCAGGCTTAAACGTAAATGGATATGAACCTGATCTTTGTTTTTTAGATCTATTTGTTTAATAATTTTTTAGTGGTTGAATTATGTAGAGTTAGGGCTCAGAACTTGTAATGGTAATCTTGCTTTATGCAAAAATTTGCACATAGAAATCATAAATGCTGAGAAATATAGGCCTTCGACTTATCTCAATTTGCGTGATTTTGTAATAAGTATGATCTAGTAATAGCAAGTAATTCACAAAGTGGAGGAGAATTTGGTTTGAAAAGTGGAAGCTCAATTCTTATCTATGAGGTTTCTCCTCCATTTCTCTCTCTCTCTCTCTCTCTCTCTCTCTCTCTCTCTCTCTCTCTCTCTCTCTCTCTTCAATGCAAATACATGTTAGCATTCTTCAAAGAGTGGGTCGCATGAACCCTAAGCTACACATCGTACTGAATGTCAATCAAAGAACCATCTATTTCAATTTTATAGCTGCCACAGTTTCTCATTTTTAAAACTTGCTTTATCTCTTTCTCTGTTATGCTATGCTAGAGTGATTTCCTTGTATAAAATTTTAATGAAAAGAGTATATCTTTGTTGCTTTTATTGCCATTTCTTTTACTATTAAGATGTAATTAGTTAAAAATTTTGAGACTTAATTAAGATGTATGTTACTCTATTCAAGTTGCATATAACACTATATAATATTTTAGTAACTGTGATATTAAAATAACACTATATAATATTTTATTAAGAGTATATCTTTGTATGTTTCTCATTGATATTAATATTGCTATTTTTTCTGGGTAAAACATGAAGGTGCTGCTTTCTCTGGAGGCTCAGATATTTTAATGGATCTTTTATCGATTGGCTCTCCTATTCCGAATGATTCATCACCACCAAATAGTGTCTCGAGCAGTGTGGCAAATTCTTCAGCAGTTGCTCTGGATAAATTTTCATCTTTAACTTCTACATCTTCGTCCCTATCTTCTGAAGCATTGACCATAGATCCTCTGAGAGGGATTGAACAAATAATCAGATCACCACCGTCCACTGCTCCAATAGTAGATTTACTGGATGGTTTTTCAAATCATATATCTGTTTCAGGTCAGCCTTTTGTTTGACAATTTATTGATTATGCTGTTAACAGGTGAAGTTTTAATATATTCACTTAAAACAGGTAATGAAAAGCCAGATTTTCCAGCCATAACCGCTTTTGAGAGCAATTCATTAAAGATTGCGTTCAGCTTCACAAAACTCCCTGGAAGGCAGCATGATACACAGATCAAAGCTACCTTTACAAATAAATCATCAAATGAGTATACAGATTTCATTTTTCAAGCTGCTGTTCCAAAGGTACTTGAAATTGTAATTGTTCTTAGAAAAGCCTTATTAACTCCATTTTTTAGCCGCTAATGTTACATTTGTTTCTAATGCAACTTTAGTTGTCATCTAGTGTTTCTAGACTTCCTGCACCAGAAGCAATTCTAATGTTGTTTGCATTTATTTATCCATCTAGTGTGCAAGCAATTTACAAAATATGAATAGCACTCATCTTCAACAGCTAATGGTTGAATATTTGAAATTAACTCCTCAGGAATCACACCCAAAAATAAAACTTATTTTGATTTATTCTCATATGGTGCTATGGATGTTCATCTTGGCTATGCTTAAAATGTCAAACAACATTCCATCTCCTTTCTTCAGCAATGTTTTATTGGTTCTGTGCCATACATTTTATATTATTTTCAATACCATATTTTTCTGCAGTTTATTCAGTTGCACCTAGATCCTGCTAGCAGCAGTACTCTTCCAGCTAGTGGAAAAGGGTCTATAACGCAAACCTTATCTGTCACTAATAGCCAACACGGGCAGGTATATATTATTTACTCAAATATATTACGTGTAATTCCGTTTCAATTGCATATTTGAGTCATTTGCTATATATGTCTAAAAAATTTGATGTTCCAGAAACCGCTTGCAATGCGTGTAAGGATGGCTTATAAAGTGAATAACCAAGATCTGCTGGAACAAGGGCAAATTACCAGCTTCCCTCCTGGCCTGTAATGGTGAACAGAGTTCCTTGTCTGTGAAATTGCTCTATTGTTTTCAATATCCGTTGGCAGAGCCTACAATTTCCAATTTTTTTTTTTAATTAGTGAGGAACTTGAGAAAGTATAGGCATTTTTCACTTCAGCTAATCATGGTTGTATTTTTTTTTTTTCTGCTTTTAATCTGTAGCTTTGTGTATATTAAGCAAAACTTGGATTAAGCGTTTGGAAAAGGTGATTCTTTGATGGAGAGTAGCATGTATGCTGGAACTTATAACACAAGATAAATTTTTGTTTCCAAATTTTATTATTTTACTCCCATTGTTTGCAAATTGATAGTCTTTGAATGAGCTTGAGGTCTTCAAATGAGGGGGTATTTATACACACTAAGTTTGTCAGATGCAGTCATGAGATATATAGGCTTTGTTTGAGACGGTTTTCTTATTGCTTCTTAAAGCAACTTTTTAGTAGAAAATTTTTAATTTTTTACTAAAAAACTGCTTTAAGAAACAGTAAAAAAGCCATCCCAAACGAAGCCACAGTGATGCATAAGAGAGGCTGGAAAAGTGACTTGGTGTCATATGATAAAAGCATCAGACAGTTGCATTAGTGGCAAGCGATGAAACCACAAGAACTTGATATGCAAATTTTTGAAAATTAGCTTGACTTTTCTTCAATGTTTGTATTGAAAATTATGACTTACTAAAGATACATTGATATATTGCTGCTTGAAATTGTGATGTCTTCTAATTGCTTAAGAACTACAATCCTAATTCATACTTGTTTTTAGTGTTGCAAATGATATGTTGATCGATGGATCTACAATAAATGTGATCGAGCAAGCAGACTTTGCAAGTGTAGTGATGGACTTCGTTAAAGTTCATGTGACAAATTTATGATGAAATTCATCATAAATTAGTCATTGATGGAACAAAGCTGCAGCAATTCCATCTCAAATTTATCATAAATCAGGTACAAATTTGCAACCAAATCATCAGTTGCAACAATACTGAGAAGTAAACCCTAAACCAGGCTTTGTTTGGGATGGGATGATTTTCTCACTGTTTTTTAAAATAATTTTTTTAAGAAACAGAAAGTAAGCGGTTCGAAATGAAGCCTTAATTTTGAATGTGTGATTAAAATCATATATTTTATAATATATTATTCTTCATTTATTAAAAAAACTTGGATGAAAAAGAAGCTAAAGTGTGCCCATTAAATAATGAAAATAACACGAGTGTACAAATTACAAAAACTATAAAAATAAATGGAAAGGACAAATATTGAATTATTGACAAACATTACAAAATTCTCAACAATTACAGCAATTATCTTCAAGAATGGCCCAAAAGAACAATCAATGTTATCAAGCATACCCGATTCACCAAACACTTCACACTTCACTGACCGGTAATCACTAAAAAACTGCTCTCAGATCACCCTGCAAATCCAAAACAATGTTCATATTTCAATATCAGAGTCTGTTTGATTCGAAGTAGGATTTAGTAAATCCGCTATTCAAGATTTAATGGTATTTAGCAATCCCTATCGGCAAAACTTTTTGATTGTCCAATTCTAAAATCCAACCAAATCTGAAGGTTGTTTTGGTAGTAGATTGAAAGATTTGCGAGATTGGAAGAAATATAGCAAACCCTGTTAAAATACATCTCTGAAATCGAAGATTCGATCAATCCCAAATTTGAGTTAAAATTATGCAAATTCTTCTAAACACAGCGTTTAAATCTCAAGCAAAATGCGTCTTAATTGTGAAGAGAGAGAGAGAGAGAGAGAGAGAGAGAGAGAGAGAGAGAGAGAGAGAGAGAGAGATTACATGGAGCAGTCGGTGCTGGGGCTGATGACGAAGGGGAGATCGGAAATTTGACAAGTTTCGGGGAGAAGGCCAGCACGCCTTAGCACTTCTTCGGCAGCACCCTGAACCAGCATCTTCAAGCAATTGCAGGCGCTGCGGCGGTCGATCGCCGCCTGAGCTACTTCCGCCAGGCTGCGGAGGCCTCTGCAACATTCTGCCGGCAAGAAACCGCCGGAATTTAGGAAGTAGAGGCATGCCATGAAGTAGCCGCCCACCACCTCGAGACAAGTAAGCTGTGCTTCCCCTCTTGGAATCGTAACGGCCGCTGCAACGATCAGCAGCATCAACACTACGGAAGCTGGAGACATGATGGCCTCTGGTTGAGTATGATTACGGAGAAGATAGCCGTTCTGGAATAATTGTTATGTATCTTCTTGGCCGATTTTTTATTTTTTATTTTATATAATAACAGAGAAATTTGAATTTTATATATCAACAACTATATTTATTCTATTTTTATTTGAAGAAATTTAATAAAAAAATTCATTTTGGATCAAAATATTCATATGAGTCACAACTGTTTAAATAAAAAAGATGCTCAAGCTTCTCCTTTCAAGAAATCTCTATACATTTCAAAGCTCAGGTAATTGACACACTATAATCGTAAATATTTCAAAGCTTCAAGTAATTGACGCACTATAATCGTAAATATTCGCTATAATCCCTTCAACCACCTCTTCATCACAGTCCTCTTATTGGAATTTTCTTCCAAACATAATCATATTTCATTCAGACTTTGTTTAAAATATGTTTCGTCCTAATGCTCAAAATGTTAGCCTCAAGAACTCAAACAAAATTTAAACTAGATCCAAACCTCATATTTCAAGTTCAAATATTATTCGAAAATGTTTTTGAACCTTTGTTCGACTCTTATTTCAAATATGTTAGTACGAGTGCATATAATTTTGTTCTAGAGCAGATATTAGAAATTGGGTTCAAATGAAATTCCAATCATTTTTTTTTTCTCTTTATCTTATAAGACATTGATTCATTTGAATTGATTTATTTATACATATGTCATAATTAATTATTCTTGTGAAGATACATGACATTGCTCATATCACATGTAGAGCTGGGGTGATAAAAATAATATCGAACAACATGAAGATTTTGATTTTCTTATGAGGTGGCCAAGAAATCCAACCTCTAATAGCTATTTATTATAGCTTTGTGGGGCTCTTAGCTCATCAACTTACATAGGCTTTTGTATGTATGTTCATTTTAGTAATCATTTATGCTTTATATCTAGTAGTTGATGTAGTTACCATGATTAGTATATATGTTAAAATCAAGATCTATTAGTCATATACTCGAACAAGTTTTATGATATTTTTCATCAATGTGTAAATATTTATTAAATACTAAAGATATCAATATATGATAGAATCTTCTACATGTTTTATGAAGAAAACAAATATCTCTTGCTAATAATTTGAGTATTTAATAATGATTTTCATCCCAACTATTTTGATTTCATGAGTTTAAACAACAATACGGAACAATGTGCCTTTTCTGCCAAAAAAAAAAAAAGAAAGTGAAATTAATAACTAACTTGAGAATGGCTTTAATGAAGACACTGAAAAAGAAAGTTAGGAATGTTGGATTCAAATTTACCATGAAAACATCACAATCCCTAAGGAATATCCATGGTTTTAGCAACTACCATTCTTGAAGCTTTTACTTGCTCTTCTTTCTTGTTGTTCTATGAGCATTGGGCATATTGCAACCATCTCAGCTAAATCATTTCTCAATGTGGTGTCCCCCCGGATGAATCAAGGAAAATATTGACAAAGCCCTTCTACCTTTTTGCAAAGTCAGCTTAGGCCTATCATCTACAATGACCAAGGCATGTAGAACATTGTGCGGATCAAGATAATCAAGTTAAAAGCCTAATTACAAGAGCTAAGACTAAAACCCAATAACAAATCAAAGAAAATGTCCAATCATATGACCATAATTAAAGGCCCAATAAAGAATCCATAGTTAAATAATAATAATAATGTAATTTATATTTTATTGTTGTTATTTTTTTTTATTTTTAACCTAGATACTTATATAGCTAAACAAGACATGGGTTGGTGTAGATGAGGCTTTGAAAATGGGTGGTTGAAACTCCTTATCTTTAATGTCCTCAAACTCTCTCTTTCCTTCATTTTTTCACTCCAAAAGTGATTGCCCAATAATCTTGTAAGGTTTTATAAATATGGCCAAATATGCATTGTAATTTTAATTATTGAAAAGAAATAATTTTGTGGAGAAATGCTCTACATTTATTTGGTATTTGGTGACTTCAAATATGTGTCTTTTTTTGGGTGAGATTATGTAGTTATCATGCATTCTTTTAAGTTAGTTACTATTATTCTTTAATGCCTGCTCTAAGCTCTTTATAACTCTTTTTTCACTTTATAAGCACCCTCTAAGGCCAATAAATCAACGACCAAAATCTTAAACCATTCTAAATACTTTAATATAGATATCAGCCCAACTAGGAAACACTTGAACACAACCTTATTACCTAAACCTTGACATCTTCTTAAACTCTATTAAATGTTATCATCAACTCCATTTCATAAGTTTAAATTATAAATTAATCATCCAATATTATTTTTATCTGTTTATCCCACATAAAATTTACTCCCTAAAGTAATATTTCAAATTAATTCAAATAAGCATAAATTGGACTAGTCTTAGCATCCTTACTAATATACTCTTTTAAACATCTCATCATTCTATCACAAACTTTATAACACATTTCTAAATTTCAAACTAAAAATTCATAACATCAGCTAGCTATTAATTTCACCAATAAGACTATCCACTACTATCATATTTGGTATCAGAGAATCTGAGCAAATCTAGTTAAAACTTTTGAACAACAAAAATGAATTTTTCTTGCGGTGGACTTTCCTCCAAAGGCTTGGGAGTCACTTTTTTAAGTTTAAAGTTAGTGAATCCATCTTATGATAGATTTATTTCATATTTATATCTTGAATATATATTATATTTCTTGTCAGACTATATTTTAAGTATAACATCCAATTAATAATCTCCACCATAAGCCTAGCCAATAACCTTGTGTTAATCTACCCAAAAACTTTTATCTTGAGTGAAATCTTGATAAGGGTGTATGCTAACTTCAGAAAACTAAAACATTATCTTGATGCATGTAAAACCTTGTGTAAACTTTGTTAATTTTTGTGTTATTTGCTTTATTAGAATACTAGATTGTTTATCAAAATTTGAATAATTTATCATCTTAAGAGATTAGGCTTGTTGCGTCCTGGAATATTCGCGGCGGTAGAGAAATATATAGTTTAACGTCTTAGCGTTGTACGAAGATCCAGCACACAATCAGATAAGTGAGAGGGTGTAGCAAGACGCTCAGTTTGACTATAAGCTCGCTGAAAAAGGAGTTCAGGTGCTCCCAGATTAATTTTTTGAAGTTTCCAACTTGATTTTTGCCTCGAGATTCGTGCCCGATCAAGTTAATTTTCGCATGACGTATCAAGGCTTATAGATCTAAGCATATTTTTCTTGGTTTCAAAATTACATGTATAAAATATGTATGTGCATAAGATTTTATGTATTCAAAATTAAAAAGAACTTTGTCAAAAAAGTCTAAGCTATCTAAGAAAAGCCTAGGACATAAAAGATCTATATACCACCTACTTTCTTAGAAGTTTTTTTTTTTTACTTAAAAAAATTCATTTTATTTTTACATATATGTTTTATATTTCACTATAATTAGCCTTTCCCCCTCATCTCTCTCTCTCTCTCTTTCTTCATATTTAATAAAAAATCATCTTATAACACCCAAATTAATTTCACAATATTCAATTGAAATTTTGACTCAAATGAATGACTCTTTAAATCTTAAGATTCAAGATAATAAAATGAAGACTAAAGAATTATTTGAGGAGCATAAAACTCAAATATAAGAACTTAAATATCAAATGCAACCAATCTTGAATTATCTACAAAATAATAGAAATAATGTCACATGTCTTATCCAAAATGATAATGCATATTTAGATGATGATGCTTCTTAAATAGACAAAGGAGAAGACCTACCTAACTGGAGACAACACAGTCCTAGGAATGGAGGTGGAAGAGATCATCCTTATAAGAATGTTGATGACTTTAAAGATCCATCAAAGAGATTTGAAGTTGAAGCTCTCACCTATGAAGGCACCTATGACCCTAATAGATTCTTGTATTGGTTAATTAGTCTAGATGGATGATTTCTTTGATTAATATAAGATGGATGGCTCCCAATGAGTTAGAATTACCAAAATGAAATTAAATAGACATGCCAAAATCCATCGCACAAACAACTTATCAAAGGAATAGAGGCTAGGAAGAACCACCTTCACCTGGATAAAAATGAAAGAAATGTTAAGAGCTAAGTATTGTCCTAGATATTACTACAAGAAACTACATGGATGATTATTGACCTTAAAGAAAGATAGTCTCCTAATTATTGAATATTTATACATCATTTAATACATAACTTCTATGATTGATTGTGATAACAATGATTGGTAGCTTGCCAAGAAAATTTATTATTGGACTTATGACTAACATTAGAAATGAAGTTGAAATGTTTATCCCCTAGCATTTCATTATGCATTTTGAGTCATGAACAAAAGTAAAATGTAACCCTCTCTAAAGCTAGACTCCAACCCCCTCCACTGCATATCACAAGTTTGTATTATATCTACACCATCTACCGACCAGCCCAACCCAATCAAATAAGTCTTCTACTGAAGGAAGTTTTAAAAATAATTCAAAAATAGTATATTTTATGTGTAACAAGAAGGGGCACATTTAAATTTAAAGCTTAAATATTATTCTTATAAGAAACTAATGACCCTATATATAATGATTTTTAAAAAAATTATGATCACACCCTATTATTTGACGAAGAATTTGAGTATACAACGAAGCTTTATCTTAGTATAATAAGATGTATGATTGTAACTAAGAATGAGTTAGATGACTGGAGAAGAATGAATATCTTTAGTATGTATGTGATGTGCAATGAAAAAAGATATGGATTAATTATTTATGGTGGAAGTGCAATGAATCTCATTTCAACCCACACCATCACTAGAATCGATCTCAAGATAGAACTACACCCTTGAACATTATCAAGACAATTAGTCAACCATATATCTCTCCCCAGCACACATAGAAGCATATTTCTTATCAAGATTGGTAGCTATGAAGATCAAATATGATGTTATGTCCTTCCTATGTATATTGCCCACATATTGTTTCAAAAATATTGATTGTTTGACATTAGTGTCACACATTATGATAAAAAAAATTATATTTTCAAACATAATAATTAAATCATTAAAATCTTTTTAGTCAAGCTTATAGAGAAGAACCCTATTATAATACCTCATAAGAGTACCACTAAATTGCAATCCAAATCCATACAAAGAAAGTTACTAAGGTTTAGTTTATTGTCAAAGGAAATCTTACTTTTAAGGATGATATTATCAATTTTAATCCTAATTCAATTATCACTATATTTCACTAAGGACAAAAAGGTGTGTAGGCAATCTCACTTTACAGCCATATGATTACATTCTCCTTGAGGAACATTATTATAAACCAGACTTTCCTTGAGGGTAGTGTCAGGATTTATTTAGACATGGGTTCTTACTTCCTATAAGGGTAAGATCTCATACTTAATAACCCCTCTTATTGTATATAAGAGAACACTCGATTAAGGATGAACAATATTAGGTTCTTTAGTATCAGTTGTGGGAAAAATGAAATAAACTCAATCAAGATCCCATGGTTTTGTTGTCTAGGGTATACCGTAGGTTTTAGTTTACCAAAACTAGAAAATATGATTAACATCCATTGTTTTCTCCTCTAAGGGATCCCGAGTAAACTGAAGTGGTTGAATATATGTTTTGTTGGTTTGGGTATGACTTATGACTTCTATATGAGAAGTAGCCTGAAGATTTGGGTTTGAGTCAGGGCTTATGACTATCATTGAAAGTGGTCGTATAGAGGGTCTTATAGCTTCCCTTGGAAGTAACCCGTAGGTTTGGATTTGGGTTGGTGCTTACGGATTTCTTTGAAAGTAGCCCACATGTTTAAGAGATTGGGTCTTATTGCTTTTATTAAAACTAGCCCATAATTTCAATTTTGGACAGGTATTGCGACTTAATTTACTATTTGTCTGGCTATTTGGTTGAAGGTTTATTACTTCTTGTATAAGTTTTAGAAATAGGCTTAAAACTTCTTTTGGAAGATGTATGGCTATTTTGGTAGGTCTTATGTTTTTTTTTATTTTTAGAAGTAACATGAAGGTGATTCTTATAACCTAGCCCTATAAGCTAAATGACCTAGTGAAATTTAGGGTTAAGCTACTTTTACCTGGAGATTTCCCCTAACGCATTAGGTAACATTGGAATTACAACCAGTATTAATAGAAGTTGCCTGTCAAACTTAACTTAGTGGGAATTTAGCTAAGTGGGATTTAGTAGTAGATACTTAGTTTTGTGCTTTTCATCGCCTCGGCACCTGTGCTAATGTTTTGTTCATAGTAGTAGCTTCTGACTTAAAGTAGAAGCTTTGTTTACTTGCTTGTTTCAACACTAATCTTTCTTACATTAGTAGTTTTACTTACAAAAGTTTTTATTTTCAACATCATTCTTGCCTGTAATAGTTGTTTTATTCAAGGTTATGAAAATTGGACCGGATAATGAATCGGAAGAGGGAGAGGTTCACGGTTCGACCGGTCGAATCGGGGTCGAATAGGATGACATAATAAATAATAATAATATTAAAAATTAATAAATTTAAAATCACATAATATAAGTATATGAGCATTTAATAATTATTATAAAATTTTAAAATAT